AGAGCAAGCACTGATGTCTTAGTGCTATTAGATATTAATACTACTTATTTAATATTAACATGATAGTGAGAGGATAATATGTCCAGCATGTTAAACGCACGTATCGAAATTTCTTCGATCATCGTACGTGGCGAATCAACCTTTCACACTTAGACCGATCCTTGAGTCCCAAATTTGTATATATATTTATTTTCCCAAAACCCCCATTAAACCGATGACTCAATTAATCAACTTTCCACACTTAGACCGATCTTTGATCGTCATCTTTGAGTTATCGGCTTAATAGGGGTTTTGGGAATGTAAATACTCGTATATATAAAAATTTGGGGCTCAAGGATCGGTCTAAGTGTGGAAGGTTGATTCTCCGCGTACGATAATCGAAGAAATTTCGATACGTGCGTTTAACATGCTGGACATATTATCTTCCCCCTATCATATTAATATTAAATAAGTAGTATTAATATCTAATAGCACTAAGAAATCCGTGCTCCTTACTGCCATTTTTTAAATTTTACTATTTTTTAGATATTTTAAGATCTCGATGTTTTCTGTAGTATAAGATATTGTTGACACAGAATTTTGCAAGAAGTAAAATCGAATTGTGCGTAAATGAAATGTTTAAAGGTGTTTAATCCACAATCTTTACGACGGTAGATTATAAAATAATGCATACGACGTATTTCGGCACAAAAAACAGCGTAAGAACGGCACAAGATAAAGCTGCGTGTGTAGGTTTATTTGATAAATATATTCCTCTACGAACAAATATAACAGGTTTCATTTCTTTACGCTGGATGAATATCGATCTGTATGCGTATGAAGAATTAAATCTATATCAACACCAATACCAACATGCACAGTTAAATACAAATGTGTGTTTTAATACTTATAATATAATTATAATATAATTTAGAGTTGAGGAACAACGCGTTATTTTTTTCAGTAATGACTTAATATTGATCAGTGTTGCGAGCAATTAATTGCTTTTTTAATTAGTTATCATGTTTAATTGACAATTAATAATGAGCTAATGTATTTGATCGTTTAATTGACAATTGGTTTCAATAAAGAGCTTAGCCGGATAAGTATGTAAAATCTGCCCCCGCACGTATTGAGTTTTAATTAATGTCATAAGTTTGCATTCATGTGATATGAAACTCTATCAAATTTTAACCTCAAAATTTCATTTTTGTGGAGGGATAAAGAAAAATTTTAAAAATTATTTTTCTCAAAAACGGCTGAACCGATTTCAATGAAAAAAACACTATAACTATCAATGAGACTATTTTCTAGAAAAATCAAAAAATTTTTCTGACTAAAATTTCAGATGAAAACAATTTTTTAAATTATTTAAAAAAATTTTTTGAGGTTATGTTCTATAATGACAATAACCATTTTTCACATGTATATTCTTTAAAATGTGTTCTTCAACGTATATTTTTGCCAAATTTTTTGGAATAGTGTAACATTCTGAAAAAAAATGAAAATCGTGTACGCTATTAATTTAAATCATTTTCTTTAAGTTGTGTCATTCTCGCACGCAAGATATAAATCCTATCGTATTTTATAGTATTTTATCTGGTTATAAACAATTTCGTATTCTATTGGAAACTAACGATAAGAATAACTAACTATAAGAAATTCTACCACTATCTATTGCATTCTATCGTATACGATAGAATACTATTTGTGAATTCACGAACCAAAATCCATATTCAAAACGATAGAAAATGATAGAACGATAGAATTTTATTCTATCGTTCTCTATCAACTTTTTTGCTAGGGAATCTTTAAGACGTCTTCCCAGCAAACACAGAACATAACTATGATATAACACAGGAATAACATGTAATATAACTACTGTTATATGTTATCAATATTGAGATTACTTAATTTCCTTTATAACTGCGATATAACTATGTTATAAAACTATTATGTTATTATGTTATTTACTGATTAAGTTATATCAACAATATAACAACTTTAATATAACATGTTATATAAGAAGTCTAATGTTTACATTACATTTCAGTTGTACAATATTTTTATACACAAATGTGAAATTATATTTTAGGTGTTTCTCGTATATAAAATATGATATTTTAATATATGCAAGGATCGTTATCACGATATTGTAAAATTAGAGTTCTTACAAAAAGAGTCTAATCATAATTTTACTCTGTCAATGTATTGTGAGAGAGAAAGAAGGAATATTGTCTCTCTTTTACAAGTACGTTGTAGGTTAAAATTTGATTACTGATACAACATTGTATCAATATTAATCGCATTGTGATTGTCGTATCAAACATTTACCAACAAATATGTCATAACATTTTTTGAACGATAAGAGTATATTGTAAATATTATCTACCAAGATATCGTTACGGCGCATCGGCATCACCAGTTTCCGGACGATTGTTGAAGTTAAGCATTGAACAACATGATCTAAAAATGAGTGACCGGCTGATATATAGGATCGAAACCACGCGAGTTTCACGAATAATTGAAATAATATGGAATATGAAATGTCAGTTTTTTTTTTATTATTTAGACAAAATAATCATACATTATTACTTCTGAACCATATTTGAACCACTATCTGAACCATACTAATGAATAAATCGTTGGAATTCAACAAAAAAATATATGTGTTAATTCGCTAACGAATAACATATAACTCATATAACTTTTTAGTCACATGTTACTTTTATGTTATATTCACGTTATATAACTGTAACATGTATGAGTAGGAAATTACAACGAACGTCTATATAACCTACTACATGTTATATTGCATACATGTTACATTCCGTTTTATTACGGCAATGTAACTGTATCTGTGTATTTTATATATCTGTGTTTGCTGGGTTATGTCCCGATTTTAGTTTTTATGTTGTCTGGGTAAATATATACTAAGTGATAACTGTAAAATGCACTAACTATTAACCAAACTATAAACTGTTATTTAATCGATGTCATATTAATGTAGACGAATTATTGACATTGACTTGTTATCTTATAGATACGTTTCAAAAGTTAACTTCAAGAACGTTAACCAATAGGCAATACCTGCTCTACTTGGGTTATCCGTTATTGTCGAGTGAGCAATCTTGATTGAATTCAATTTAAGTCTTCGCGTTAATATACACGGTTGAGCTTCGCGCATGTACTTGGCTCGCGACACGACCATGTTTTCCATGACTATTCGTTTTTAATAAAATTTGATAGAATGCTGAACTCCAATCCTGCTCAATAATAGAACACTTACATCGAATATGTCGGGTGGTCCTCTGTTCAAATATCGGCACGTTTGTATAATACCCACTGCCGGTACCGCCACTATCGGTATCAGCTGAATTGCAGTCCCGAATTGTCTTGCCCACAAAGCCCAGTATTCTTTGCCGGTACGACGATAAGTGTAGAGTTCTCGAGAGAAGCTACTGCTCTTGAATATTGTGATAGTAAGAACCTATGATATAAAATAATATCTTAATGACGGAATGTTGTTGCGAGTGAACGCACAATCTGATATATACCAGATATATATGAATAATTATACCAAGTCTAATGACTTACCAGTAAAGTCACCGGGAGAATAACGTTCCATGTAAAAGACAAGAGAGGCCCAGCCCAGTATCTGAGACATCGTCCTGTCGGTGGGAATAATTCGGCTACGACTGCCTCCCCGGTATGTGGACGCCCGCGAACAGCGAACACGGCGCCGACTTGTATTAAATATAAGATGATTATCCACCATGCCCCGCCGACGGTGTAATCGAGATAATATACAACATAAATGCCAAACTGCAAACATATAACAAATATAACATATAGATG